AGAGAGAGACCCCAGGGGCTGCTAAAAGAAACCAACCCCGGAAAAAAGGCGCCGTCATTTCCGACACGCTGCTGGCACGGCCAACGGCACGGCACTGGAGACCACTGCAGTGTCCGCTGGAGGCCGCGGGCCGGACGCGTCGCCAAGAGGTGCCGAGACGGAGGCGAGCGCGGAGCGCGGAGCCCTGGGCCCGAGTGGGCGCCGCGGCGTTGTACTGCATTAGCGTTTATTGCGTTCTCTAGGACGAGCACCACCGCCTCTCCCTCGCCGCGGTTTCGGACGGATGTCCTCGCGCGCGCTCGTGCCTTTCTCTCTCTTCTCTCTCTCTCTCTTTTCTCTCTCTCTCTCTCTCTCTCTCTCTCTCTCTCTCTCTCTCTCTCTCTCTCTCTCTCTCTCTCTCTCACTCTCACACACACACGCACGCCTACACACACACCTACACACACACACACACACACACACACACACACACTCACACACACACACGTTCCCACCCCGGCCGGCGACCCTTTCCACACAATTGCGAATTCCTCTCTCTCCCCCGCCGATATACCGTGTACCGCGCGTCATCCGATATATCGACGCTCCGACTCACGTTCGGCGGCTGGCGGCGCGCCAGGAAGGCTTTTTGACCCCTCCTCTGCTTTATCGGACAAGGCGGCCGGGATGTCGGTCACTTTCGGTAAAGTACGCACTTGGCGCCTGCATCTCGTCCGCGAAAACTACTGCCGCGGCAAAAAAAAAAACAAAAAACAACAGACACACACACACACTTACAGAAATACCCTCTCACACACATGCGCCAGCAAACAATCTCCGTGCCGTCAACGGGCGCTCCGCTCCGTGTGTACTATCCATGAATGGACGCGGCCTGCCTCTTTTTCTTGTCGTCCGGATCACTATTATTCCGCGTGCGTCCCCGCGATAACGCCCCGCCCCGCCGCGCCCGCCCCGCCGCGCCCGCCCCGCCCCGCCCCGCCCCGCCCCGCCCCGCCCCGCCCCGCCCCGCCAAGTCGCGCCTTGACCCTCACCGTGCCCGTCCACGAGTGTTGCCGGCACGCGTCGCGGCCACCGAGTCGTGCTCGCCGAGCCGAAAGACCAAAGACCACTGACTCACTCACTCGGCCGAAGTCTGGCTCCTTTGTTGGCCGTGGCCAAACAGGCACCACTGTCCTGCACTGTCCTGACCGCACTGCGCCGAGCTGCCCAGGCAGAGCCCGGTCTTTACGACTCGGCAGCGCGGTGCGCGGCGCGGTGGCGTCCAAGGTCCCCACCGTGGTGCATCGCGCCGCACTCGTGTCGCAGAGGCCGCGCCGCAGTGCCCAACTTTGGCGGCCAGGTTCGGACCGCTCGGACTCTGCGTGGCTTTATTTCGTGCCGAAGCCGCCGTCGTGTAGCCGACGGCAGCCAACAGCCACTGGACTGAGAGGCGGTTTCGTCGCTCTGTCTCTCTCGCACCTATAAGGGACGCCCCATGAGTGCGAGAGACAGAGCGTCGAAAACGACTGCTGGCGGAATAAGCAAGGCGCTGCCTCGACAAAGTTTGGCGACTCGTGGCATAACCCGCGCGATCCGGCGAAGACCGCCCAGCTCGCCTTTGCAAGCCTGATGAGGCGACGAGTGTGTGTACCCAGCGGACAACGCCGGGCCGGGCGGGGCGGGGCGGGGCGAGCTCGCCGCCAGCGGCCAAGACAAAGTCGACTTTACTCCAATTGCTCTTCTGTGTGGAGTTTGCTCGCCGCAATCGTGGCTCGGCGAGGACGGCCACCGCGGGGACCTTGGACTTGGGGTGCACGGCGCACCAGGACGCCGTCGTGGCTGCCTCTGCCGCGGCCTCGGCCTTGCCGAGGTTGCTGCGCGTTGCTTGGAGCGAGCGCCCCGCCCCGCCCGCCGCCCCGCCTCGCCGGCGCGCCGTATATTTAGCGCCACCTGTACGCCCCGCGCTCTCCGCGCTTTCTTTGCGGGTGGCCAAGATGGCAGGGGTGTCGGAGGCGGCGGGCGGGGCAGGAGCTCCACGACGGCGACGCCCTTGGTCACCATGCCGCTGGTCGGCGACGTGTCCAGACGCATTTGTCGCATGTGACCTCCAGGCCGCCACGCCGCCACGCGGCCGCTACTGTGCAACACTGAAAAGAAAAGCAAGTACTAAACCCAAACGAAAGGGTCGTTTTTTCTCGTTCTCCGCTGCTCGCTGGCAACACGGCCTGTTTGGGGTGTTGCCGGGTCGGGCCGTACACGCGTACGCACGTGATACATAAACTAGCCCTTCATTGCCTCGGCGCGGAGCACCGGGAGCACCCCAGGGGGCAGTACCGTCGTGATACGTCTAGCATTATGTGCGAAGGGAAGGGGGAGGAGGGGGCGAGCCGGGTGAACGCGACGCGCCGAGTTGGCGGCGGCGTGCTGACTGCGTACTGGACCGACCGCCTCGGCTCGGTGATACCCCACGCGCGGAGCGGGCGGCAGCGGCTATACCCCGCGCTGCCAGCGCCCGGCCGCGAGTCAGTCGGATCAGTTGGAGGGCGGGCGGCAACCAGCGGCCCCGATTGGACGTCAGGCACGCCAGGCCTTCCCTCTCTCTCCCTCTTCTCCCGCGGCAAGCCACGCCACTGCCAGCGCTGCGCGTCAGAGCGCCGTGGTGGCAGGCAACCCGGGCAACCGCCGCGCGCGACGGGACTGCAGCCTGCCCGGGCGCCCTGCCGCGCCGCAGAGGAGGCGGCCCAAACTCTAGACGCGTTTTGAGCTCCAGAGTCGCCAAGCAGGACTCGAACCGAACGTGTGACCCCACCAATGGATTGCTCTTGCGGAGAGCAAGCCATTGGTGGGGTCACACGTTCGGTTCGAGTCTCATTTAGCGACTCTGCAGCTTGAACCCGTCCGGGGTTTTGACCGCCTCCACCGGTCTTCTGAGCGCTCCCCCACCCGTCCGACATGTTGCTGCGCGCTGCGCGTGTAGCGGTTCCGCAAACAACACGAGTCTCGGGCCGGGCATTACTTCTCATCTCGGCGACACCCGTTTGCTTATTTTCCCGACCGCCATTTTTTCGCGTGCCGCCGGCGTCGCCGCCACCCCGGGGGAGCCCCTGCCGCCTGCCTGGCCCAAGGCCCGGCCCGAAGCCTGGCCGCCGCCACCCCGCCGCCACCCCGCCGGCCCCGTGTCGGGATCACGTTGACGGCAGTGTGGGCGCCGCGCTGGGCGACGCCACGCTATGCAAATCGAGGCGCATCCAATCCCTGCGCCGCTCAGTGGGCCAGAAGACCGGTGGGGTGGCCAAAACTCTGGACGCGTTCTGAGCTCCAGCGTCGCTAAACAGGACTCGAACCGAGCGTGTAACTCCACCCACCAATGGATTACTCCACGAATGAGTAATCCATTGGTGGGGTCACACGTTCGGTTCGAGTTTGAGTCCCGTTTACCGACTCTGAAGCTCAAAACGTTTCTAGAGTTTTGACTGCCTCCTCCGGTCTTCTGACCCGCTGTGCCTCGGTACCCGCCAAACGCGTCCTGGAAGAGGACGGACTCGGAGGAGGCGGGGGTGCCGCCACTGCCGCGCTGCGCCGGGGCGTCACCGTCGCCGCCGTAGTCGGGACGTCCGTCGGGACGGCCGTCGGCTCTCGTGCGAATGAGGTGCCAGGACGGCTGATGGATCGTCCGCATCACGCCGGAGAGACGGGGAGGCGATGGAGTGCATGGGCTCGACCAAGACGACCCCGCGCGCCCCTCACCCCGCCCGTGGCCTGAAACATGTCGCTATGACAGTTCCACGTTCGTCAGCGAGTCCGCACCGGATACGCGTGGGAGTGCGCGTGGGTGTGCGTGTGGGGGTTGCGTTGCGTGTGGGTGTGAATGTGACTGCCGCCAACTTGACAAACAACGTTGTTTATCGAGGTGTCCGAAATACAACACCTGGAGTGCTGCGCGCTGCGCTCTGCGTGTGACTTGCTGCCGCTTGCTGCCGGTGACGGTGGTAATGGTGGCGATGGCGATGATGGTGATGGCGAAAGCGCCAAGACGATATTTTGTTTCCGTTTCCGAGCCGCCTGCTCCCATTCCCATCCCCCCCCCCGCGCCCCAACGGCCGCGCTCGCTTCAGAGAAACTAAACTGAGGCCGTGGCGGCGACACCCAGTGCCACTGCCGCCAGCGCGCGCCAGCGTGTCCCTTTGGTCCCTTTCCCTTGCACCTGTTGCGGCTAAAGAGCCTACAGTAAAAGAGGCGCCACGGGCGGCTGTGGTGGGGGGTCTGGTTCAACTGGGGACGCTAGGCGAGCGCTCCGTTTCTCATACCGATGCGCATCTGTCTGTCTAGCAGACGAATTTGAACCGCGGTCCACGGAAAACACTTGTTAGGCTAGGCTTTTAGGCTGCACGTAAAGAGCCGAGCCTACGAACTCTCTCGACGCATCAATAGGTCAAACGCTAAGAAATGGTTGGGTGCTGTGTAGGCAATTGCACCAATTCGTCTGCAAAGGGATTTGGTATGTTCAGATTCCCTAAAGACCCAAAATTCAGAGGGAAATGGACGGATGTTTGTGACCGACCTGGCTGGGCTCCATCCAATCACTCGCGAATGTGTGATGTAAGTTTCCTAAATTTCACTAATTTTGGGATTTTTTGTTTTTGTTGATTATTTTAGTTTTTCTGACCTTCTTTTTACATCGGCAGGCCCACTTTGACGAAAACCAATGGGAGAAGTATAAGGTCAGGCTGAAGTCAGAGGCAGTGCCACACAGATTATGCACTTGTCACCACAGAATCCCTTACAATGTGCATGAAATGTTTGGTGCAATAGCACCAAATGTGGATCACTTGTACGCAGCTAAGCCTCAGCATTTCCGTGATTGCTCGAAAGTTTTGGGCAGAACAGTGCAGCAAGTTCCCAGTCCAGTAGATGTAGTTGAGCATTGTGTTTTGCAGCGGCAGTTGCAAGATTTGACTGCTCGTTTAGCTGCCAAAGAAAATGAGGTGAAAGGGCAGCAAGCCCTTCTGTCATCTGTGTCCAGTTTGAAGAGTGCCTCGGAAGACAACAACATCAAGCCCCATTTTGATTCCGGTGACATCAAGAGCGGCCTTCAACTCAGATTTGCTTGCGGAACATCTGGGTATGAAACGGTACTAAAGAGCCCTGCTTTAATGAAGAAGCAGCCAAGTGTTCGCACATTGCAGAGAAGAACTGAGCATATCGCTTTTGAGCCCGGACTCCAAATAGATATAATCTCTGCTCTTCGGGAAAAAGTGAAAGCACTTCCAGACCAAAGAGACAGAGATTGTAATCTATTTTTTGATGCAATGGCAACCAAGGCTCGGCTTGACTTTGACATTGGGACTAAATCATATTTGGGGCGGTCTACTTTGCCGGGCTTAGAAAACCCTGACTTAGCTTGTAAAGGTGAAGTATGGATGTTTGGAGGCATTCGTCAAAAGTGGAAACAAATTGTAGCTTGGCATCTAACTCCCAATCAAGAATGCGCTAAAGTTAAGAAAAATGTGATTTTGGACCTTCTGAAGAAGGCTGACGAAGCTGGTCTGAATGTAGTTTCAATAGTGTGTGACATGGGAAACCGTTCCCTTTTAGCTGAGTTAGGCTTTTGTACAACCAAAAGCGAAATGAGGTACTGCATACCTAATCCTGTGAAGCCAACTGTTCCACTCTACCTGGTACCCGACGCTGTTCATGTGTTCAAAAGTTTAAAGGAGATGATTGTCTCCAATGAAGTCATTACTCTTCCGGACTACATTGTTGAGGAATTTGATTTGCCATCAAATGAAGTTTGTCTTTCCCACATAGAATATCTTGAAGAATATCAAAGAGGAGAGGACCTGAAATTTGTTCCAAAACTCAAAGTGACCGATATTCATACTCCTCATTATAGTAAAATGAAAGTCAAGTCAGCGTATCAAGTCCTTCACCACAATACTGCCTGTGGCATTGAATACCTAGTTCAGAAGAAGATAGTGCCAGAGTCCCACAGAACAACAGCTTGGTTTGTAGAGGTTGTGGACCGTTGGAGGCAGTTGATGACTTCTCGGACCCTTTCAACTGCGTTGGGGAAAATGAATGAAGAAGCCTACAACAAAGCACGGGCTCATCTGAAACTAGTCATTAAAATATTTAAAGACATGAAAGTGGAAGGAGGGTGGAAGCCAGTGCAAACACATCTTGTGATGGCAACAGAATCTATTTTAGAAATCTCAGAGCATTTGTTAGAAGAGTGTGGCTATGATTTTCTTTTTGTGGGCAGATTCCTTCAAGACATTGTTGAAAATTTGTTTTCTGTGATAAGAATGCAGCGCCCCACCCCTGGACCCGTAGAACTGAAGTATCGTCTCAAGCAATGTGCCCTGTCACAATTTAATAAGGAAATTAAGAATTCATCGTATGATTTCGCTGATACTGATGATTTTGTTGACCTGTTGCTGGTGAAAATGAGAGAAAAGCCAGTAGCGACAAAGAAACCTGACCTTGACTTATCATGTATTGTCTGGTGTGAGCAAGTCCCTTTGGACGCATTTGCAGTTGGGCAAGAAGACATACTGTACAGAATGTGTGGTTTTGCTGTTGTGTCCCTTGTTAAGCTTCACATGCTCAAATGTGAAGGATGTCTGCAAAAACTAAGGAACAACACGCTGCAGCCACATTCTTCAAGTCTCTTACTGAAGATTATGAACTTCGCAGAAGATGCACAATTTGAGGTGTCTGACGAATTATTTCAGATGCTCAGGCTTGTTGAGTTTAACTTGCGCAAATGGAAGGCGGATTTGGCCTTGTCTTCCGACAGTTTGGAAGTGCTCATAGGTGAGCGCATTATTCCTTCTCTGTCCCAGTACCGCCTCAGCACTTGCCATGACATTAAGGACAAAATTTTGAAGAAATTTTCTATGATGAGAATCAAGCAGCTTAGTCAAGTTATTAGTGACTCACTGGTGAGACCCAATGTCATCACTTCCCAGCTCTCAAGTAAGACTGCTGGCTCCAAATTTCTAGCTGACAATTTTAGAATAAAGTCAAAGAAAAATGTCAAGTCAAAGAAGAATGTCAAGTCAAAGAAGAATGTCAAGTCAAAGAAGGCTGACAAGCTAAAAGAGGCTATCAAGTTGAAGAAGGATGTTAAGTTGGCGAAGGCTGTCTCTCCAAAGAAGGCTGTTAGAGTGTGAATTTGTTTTCTATTTATTCATGTGATTGTGTTATTTTTAAGTATGAACTTGAGTCTTAAATCATTGAATATCTGACAGTAATATTCATTGTATGTAATTTTCTATTGGTCTGTCATTTTTGTTATTTTTTTAAAAATTTTTTTGAAGTATGAACTTGAGTATTATATGATTTCATATATTGCAGTAGTATTGATTATATCTGAGAGAATGAAATGGTTTTGTACATAGCAGTACTATTTAGTATGTTTCCATGACACATTTTCTGAAGGTAAGATGTTTTAAGTACAGAGACAGAATAGTAAAATTAAACCTTTATTTGTCAAGCATGTATACAATCATTTGCATCTTTCATTTTATCCACCTGAAACACACACTCAAAGCAGTGTTAAAGGTTACACACACACCAAGGCATTCATTAAATAGCGCCCCAATAAGTCAGCTTAGCTTGAATAGACACAATCTTTTCTCTTAGCCCAACACGTACTCAAAGTAGTGTTTGAGGTCACACGCAGACCAGGGAAATTAAATAGCGCCCAAAGAAATAAACTTAGCTTTAATAGCGGCAATCTGTTCTCTTAGCTCAGCATTTTATTTACCCTAAACACATACTTAAAGCAGTGTTTGAGGTTACACGCAGACCAGGGAAATTAAATAGCGCCCAAAGAAATAAACTTAGCTTTAATAGCGGCAATCTGTTCTCTTAGCTCAGCATTTTATTTACCCCAAACACATACTTAAAGCAGTGTTTGAGGTTACACGCAGACTAAGGCATCCTTTAAGAAGCGCCCAAAGAAATCAACTTAGCTTGAATAGCGGCAATCTGTTCTCTTAGCTCAGCATTTTATTTACCCCAAACACATACTTAAAGCAGTGTTTGAGGTTACACGCAGACTAAGGCATCCTTTAAGAAGCGCCCAAAGAAATCAACTTAGCTTGAATAGCCGCAATCTGTTCTCTCAGCTCAACATTCCTATCTCTTGCATACTCCATAATTTTGAGCTGCTTCTGATCATCATGCTCATTGTAATACTGTTGCAACAGGCAGCCTTGTTTATGAGAAGACCCGTCACTTGAGTTCAGCTCAACCCCGGATTCGCTCAACCGATCAAAACATAGACAACATGGTAGTGCAGACTTAGTCCTATGGCCCACTAATTTGGCTTCTTTGCTTTGAAATAGCACAACATCTTCACAGTATTTACTGATGCAAAGTTTAAATTTCCTCGGCACAGCATTGGGCTTCAACTTGTGCGCTTTGCGAGTCCATTGATCAAATCCAAAATGTTCCTGCCACAAACAACACAGGTTTCAACATAAGTTAAAGTGTCCGTGCACAATTAATAACATACAACATAATAAAATATACCAACTCACAGAACAAATGTGTGACTTAGCAGACATGACAGGTGACACACCACAGTGAGAAGATATAACTTGGGCCCATATCGCCCGCAGCTTCTTGCTTTTGGGGACAGGAATAAAATTGGAACACTGGCGAGCCGAGTTCCGGCAGAAAGGCACACAGCACGTTACCATTTTAAATCGAACCTGCAACACGTTGAATACAAGAAAAACAAACAAAGAATGAGACGTTTAACCTCCCAAGTTCACGTACGAGTTGGCCACAATACATGAAAGAAATCAACCACTGACCTACTGCAAACACTGCCCGCTCCACCGAGTCTCTTCTACCACATAAGCATTCCAAAATGCCTACGGTGTGTTTACTTCGCGATAAAATACTTCGTTTCGCACATTGTCTGCAAACGTCCAGCCGCCATCAGCCGCCGTCGCGTCGCCGTCGCACCGTCTTCCACTACGTATGAGAAACGTGGCGGCACGCTGCGAGCCCCAGTTGAACCAAGCCAATCAGAGGCAAGCAAGTCACGTGACCGTGGCGCCTCTTTTACTGTAGGCTCTTTAGTTGCGGCGAGGGCCGCCGTCGGCCACCGTTGAGGGCCAGCACGTGGCGATGTAGGGCCTCGCCCCGCCTGCGCCCCGCCTGCGCCCCGCCTGCGCCCCGCCTGCGCCCCGCCTGCGCCCCGCCTGCGCCCCGCCTGCGCCCCGCCTGCGCCCCGCCTGCGCCCCGCCTGCGCCCCGCCTGCGCCCCGCCTGCGCCCCGCTGGCCGCGGACCTGATGACGGTCATTTCCGGGACGACCTGTCAGAAAGGGTGTGAACGTGAACGTGGCGTCGAGCAGAGCGGCGGCGCACGGTAAACCGAATGCCTCGAAAACCGGGAGAGCGCCCCGGTTTTGGATGCGCTGTCTCACTCCCTCTCCACAAGATAGAAAAAGACAGCGCACCCAAAACCGGGGCGCTCTCCCGGTTTTCGAGGCATTCGGTTTACCGTGCGCACCCTATGTCGGCCCTGCCTGGCTGCTCGGTCGAGCCGGTGAGGCGGCTCAGCTCACTGATTCAAAGAGTCGTTTTCGTCGCGCGGTCTCACTCATGGGCTTCCTGTGTAGGAGCGAGAGAGAAAGAGCGATGAAACCGACTCTCTGAATCAGTCTGCAGAGCGACCAGATGCAGGCACTAGTATGGATTCCGCTCCGCGCTGACGAGTATCAAGAGGGCCATCGGCAGTGGACGACAACGGGCCGCTCGCTCGCTCACAAAAGGCTGCGTTTAATTATAGAAATTAAAGAAACAGCAGACTGATTCCGAGAGTCGCTTTTGTCGCTCTGTCTCTCTTGCCCCCCATAGGCGTCCCGCTTGGCTGCGCGAGAAACAAAGGGACAGAAACGACTCTCGAAATCAGTCTGCCGCCTTCATCGTGATGCCTTTTTGTTGGGCGCAGCTTCCCGCTTCCCGGCTGGAGCGGCTGGAGTCAATGCGGATGGCTCGGCTCGGGGTCACTTCGTCCACTTCGTGCACTTCGGCCTCGACGACTTTCCGCGCCGATCGCCGCCGCCGCCGCTCCACTGTTAATGAATAATGCGGTGCCGTTTCCGTTATTCATTCTGCGGCGCCGCTTGGCCGTTCCGCGAATGAGAGAGAGAGATCGTCGAATACCGAATCGAATACCGCCGCCGCACTGCTAAATCTGCCCCTCGATTACGAAGCAGCGCGTGGCCCGCGCTTCTGGTCCACTATCGGTGGACTGATTCCGAGAGCGTCCCCCCCCTCTCTCTCTCTGTCTCCCTCTGTCTCTCTCTTACTCTCTCTCTCTCTCTCTCTCTCTCTCTCTCTCTCTCTCTCTCTCTCTCTCTCTAGGAGCGATACAAGGCGCTCGGAACGGGCGGAATCAGTCCGCAGCCGGCAAAGCTGCCACGCGACGCGCAGTCCAGTCGCGCTGGAATGTGTGTGCCTCGTGAGTCAATAAGGCGGGCAGAAATGGAGAAAATGCGAGCAGAGTGATATTTCGAGAAGAGTTTTCGACGCTCTGTCTCTCTCACACTCATGGGGCGTCACGGATGAGTGCGAGAGAGACGGAGCGACGAACACGAATCAGTCTGCAGGGCAGCACCGCCTGACTAATACACCGTCAAATGCGGCGTGTCCCTGTGAAGGGTGGCGTGGTGACACTCGCCCCATCATTCTAGTCGGTCCTCCGGTAATTTCCTGCCTTGATCGACCCCCCTCCCCCCTTCCAGTTTGTTTGGCAGTCCACACGGACCCCGCCAGGACGCCAGGCCTCGCCAGACCGCCTAGCTTAGCCCAGTGTGCTTGCTTTGACATTTAGTGTAACCCCTCCCCCCTCCCTATCCCCACGCCCCGCGTCGCTCTGCTCCGCTCTGCTCCCTCTGCGTGCACAAGCGAAGTACACCAGTGTATGCGGTCTAGCCGATTCCTAATACTTGGCCAAAATGATTGCGCGCGCCCACACACGCACACACACATACTGACACACACAACAACAACACACTCACACACACACACACACACACACACTTAAACTCACACAAACACGCGTCAATACATGTACACACCAACACACACACACACACACACACACACACACACACACACACACACACCACACACACACACACGCCCCGCTTCGTGGTCACTTTAATCTCCCCCCTGCGGTGGCGGCGGCACGGGCGACGCTCATTACTCCGTACACTGCTGCGCTGCAGACTGATTCTGAGAGTCGTTTTCGTCGCTCTGTCTCTGTCGCACGCATGCGGGACGCCCCAAGAGTGCGAGAGAGACAGAGCGACGAGAACGACTCTCGGAATCGGTCTGCTGGTGGCGCCGCCGCCCGAACGGTGCGGTCTCGGCGGGAAGCTTGTTCGGGGCTTCGCCGGGCGGAGCGGAACAGGAGGAGGACGCTCTGGACCAGCCAGCGGGCGTGCCTCGCGGACCAGATGAGCGCCGTGCTGCAGACTGATTCCGAGAGTCGTTTCCGTCGCTCTGTCTCCCTCGCACCAACAGGGCGCAACCTTCAGAGCGAGAGAGACCGACGAAAGCGACTCTCGGAATCAGTCTGCTGCTGCTGCGGCACGCTGGGCACCCACCCGCAACTCACACGGACACGACGGGGAGGAAACTCGGGGAGAACACAACAATGGTGATGACGCCGCCAGCGGACTGATTCCGAGAGTCGTTTCGGTCGCGCTGTCTCTCTCGCACACATACGCGACGCCACATGAGTGCGAGCGAGACAGCGACGAAAACGACTCTCGGAGTCAGTCTGCAGCTCGCCAGGGAAGACCCTCGCGCAAAGGGCCGTCTGCTGCTTGCCGTACAGGCCGAGGCCGAAACGCCGCACGCGAACCAACTTTGGAATTTTGCTCGGCTGGAAAAATGGGGCACGGCGGGAAGGTCGTCGAAAGGCGGGGCGGGGTGGACCGGGGCGGGGCGGACTGGGGCGGGGGGGCGGGGCGAGGCGGGGTGGGGCGGGGCAGGGCGGGGGGTGCCATTCGAACTCGCGGACGCGCCTCGTGCCGTGTGCTCCGCTGTGCTCTACCTGTCTGTGCCTGACGAGAGTGAATGTGAGCACCGCGCGATCGGCGCGGCTCAGGGCGGCTCAGCGGCGCGCGTGTGTGAGTGCGTGGTGTCTGTCTGTGCACACAAGAGCGTGCGAGTGTGTGTGAGAGTGTGTGTGCGTGTGTGTGTGTGCGTGTCGCCCTTTAACCAGGTCCACAGTAATCCCGCCTCCCCCACTCTGCCTCGCCGCGCCCGCCGCCCGTGCGGCCCGTGCGGCTGGAGAATGGCTTTTGTCGAAGTTTCTCGGCCTCGGACCGGGTTTGGCTCGCGGATCGGACGCTATAGAACGGGGCATAGCGGGGCGTGGCGTGGCGTGGCGTGGCGTGGCGGGGCGGGGCGGGGCGGGGCGGGGCGGGGCGGGGCGGGGCGTGGCGGGGCGTGGCGGGGCGGGGCGGGGTGCGGCAGGGCGGGGCGGGGCGTGGCAGGGCGGGCCGAGGCGGTACGCCCGGGCCGATACAAAGAAACGGAGGGCCGCCACAATGCGTCCGCCCGGTCCGCCCTGGATGGAAATGGCGCGTCGTCGGCGTCTTCGGCGTGCTCGGCCCATCGCCACGTGGCGGCGGTCAAAGCGGCGTAACTCGGGCCGCGCGGCTCGGCAGTTACTTCTCAGCGTCCCGCTGCGTCCCGCGCACGCCGCAAGGCTCCCGGACGACGCGGCCTCCTCCCCGCCTAGTTGCGCGAATGAAAACGCGGAGCCTCTCGTGCCCTTCGGACGCCCTTCCTGCGACACTGCCACACCAGCGAGCGCACAGTGGGCCAGAAGACCGGTGGAGGCGGCCAAAATCCCGGACGCGTTTTGAGCACCAGAGTCGCTAAATGGGACTCGAACCGAAAGTGTGACCCCACCAACGGATTGCTCTCCGAACGAGGAATCCGTTGGTGGGGTCACACGTTTGGTTTGAGTCCTGCTTAGCAACTCTGGAGCTCGAAACGCGTCTAGAGTTTGGGCCACCGGCATCGGTCGTCTGGCCCACTGTGGAGCGTCGCGCGTCACGGGCAAGCCTACGGCGAGCCGCGGGCAAGCCGAGGGCAATCCCACGCAGGCCGGCCTGGCCAAGTCGAAGCTCGAAGAGCTCCAAGAGACCGCAGGCGCCGGAGCCGTGAGGCGCTGCGAGGCGCTGGGAGGGCGCGACAACTTTGCACCAATTAGACGGCTTAAAAACAAGAACAAGTCGACGCTGCAAAGAGGATCGCCTCGGCTGGCCTCGTCCTCCTCAACCCTCCTCAACCCGCCCCGACCAGCCGCAGGTTTCTCATCGCATTATCAAGTTTGCCTGTTGTTCCCGCCGCATCAAAGGGCCCTCGTTTTTCCGACAAGACCCCAATGATCCAGGTAATGGGGCAGCCAAGTCGATAACAAAGGGGCCTCGACGTCCAGGTCGCGTTGCCGCGCGTTGCTGGCAGGCGGCGCGCTTGGTGACTCCGTTAGGCGACGCGCCCTGCGATCTCGGGGAGGCAGCGCGCCCTCGGGGCGGCCCCTCCACGGCCCCTCCACGGCCCCTCCACGGCCCCTCTGTGGCCCCTCTGTGGCCCCTCTGTGGCCCCTCCACGGCCCCTCTGTGGCCCCTCCACGGCCCCTCCGCGGCCCCTCCTCGGCCCCGCCACGGCCCCTCCACGGCCCCTCCACGGCCCCTCCACGGCCCCTCCTCGGCCCCTCCACGGCCCCTCCACGGCCCCTCCACGGCCCCTCCACGGCCCCTCCTCGGCCCCGCCACGGCCCCTCCACGGCCCCTCCTCGGCCCCGCCACGGCCCCTCCACGGCCCCTCCTCGGCCCCGCCACGGCCCCTCCTCGGCCCCTCCGTGGCCCCTCCACGGCCCCTCCACGGCCCCTCCACGGCCCCTCCACGGCCCCTCCTCGGCCCCTCCACGGCCCCTCCACGGTCCCTCCACAGCCCAGGGCCCTGCCCACGGCCTGCCGTGGTGGGGCTCGTCATGTTTGAACGGGG